ATGGGAGTTAAGTTGGCTAAATATGCAAGCTGTAACACTAGCCGGCAGCATTTCAAACACTTCCAAGATCCCAATCTTAGTACACTATTCTCTTACTTAACCTATGTAACTTGTTTCCTCCATCTTTCATCACAGGTATTTCAGTATAATCTCGACCAAATCCTTAGTATCTAAACAAAATTGTTCCATCCTGTTTCCATAACATCGCATGTCAATGGAATGGTAACAAAAGTCTACAAAATAATGGCGTAATACACTTTCTCTATTGGAATGGAACAGATGTTTCAACACACAGCACATCTCTGAAAACAAAGTTTCTAAAACGTGACACAGGTTACTGAAAACGGCTTGATTGTAATTTGATTATAAGGTGCGTGGCTTTAAACGACTTTCAAAATATGGAAAGGTCATCAGGGTTCTTTAATCAGTTCAGGTCGCCACAATAGCAATTTGTACGACTCGCACGAAAATCATCAAGTGGAGATTTTGAACTACTCAGTATCCCTGCAGTACAGCAAACGGAACAGGAATTTCATCACAATCAATTTCCAAAAATTTAGCTTTTTTCAGGGAGTCTTTCACGTGCTCAAACGTTATATTGGCTTTGAGCCTTGAGATTTATTTTCCTTGACAATAAAATGGTGTAGAAAGTGCTTACAAAATTACAAAGGAACTATTTTTAGTGTCGGTTGGACCGAGAAATACAGATTTGAAATAATTAATACTGTCACTGATCAATCAAAGGGGACAATCTTCTCAGTTATTAGCTTGATAATCTCTACAGACCAAAGTTATTGGACCGAACGATCTCCTGTTTCTTCCTGGTGAGCCGGCCACCTCAGGGGAAAATTAAAGAGACCTTTGACTCTTCTTTTTCCTGAAGGACATGAAGCAATCCAGATTACATATTAACCATGGGAAAATTCGTTCAAGTGAAAAGTTGCGATTTGCCTGTGGATAATCCTAATATATCTATAATAATAATATCTATCAAATATTCCCTGCCCGTTTCTTGCTATCTTCTGTTTTAAACAAAGCGGCCATTGCAATTGATTTTTATTAAAGCGGCCATAATCGTTCTTAATAGAATTTCAAGTCTGCGCATAATCTGATTTTCACATATTAATATTTGCGTAGTCACCAAACCGACGAGAGATAAAACCTCCAAAAAAAGTAAACAAATCACCAGTCACAAGGGCAACGCTTCGCTTTTCCCTATAAAAATTCTCCGGTTCCTCATGTAAACCAATAACAATATAAGACACATATGTGAAAATCAGTGTGGGTACACTTCTGAACGTTGAAAATATATCAAGTCGAAGGAACAGTTTTGGTCTTGGTTCGCATTTTTGTCAACAAAATGAACACATATCGGTTAAAAAGATGAATTTCTCGAATATTGCGCAGGTTAAATATTCGATAGTGACATCCATTTACATCTACATCTACAACTACTTTTATTTAGTTGGTAAATTCTGTACAGACATCACGCCAACCAACTCGCGCGCAAAATGAGAATATTAGATGAGGCTTGAAATTATAGTAACAACGATTGTGATCAAGAAACAGGCAAGGAATATTCCACAACAGTGCAAATAATCGTGAAAGATGATCGCGAAAAAGCACTTGCGTGACGCTCGGTAAGTTGTAAGATGACATGTTATTAAGTATCAGACGAAAAGACAGTACAAATTCTCAGTCTGCATTTTGTACCCGGTCTGCGGTCTGTAGTCCATATTTTGAACCTAGTAGACATTTTTTACCCGGTCTGCAGTCTGCACTCCGTACTGACCGGATTGGTATGGCTGTTTTTGTTCGAGCGAGCCTCAAGTCCGGGCCGAAATACTGGGGCTCGAAAAGAGATTTTAGTGAGATTATCTTAGCCGCTATGACTGATGTGTGGACTGTATATTGAAGAGTTCCCGGGTACAAGCACAATGATAGAGCAATAATCCGTGGACCTTAGTGCCCACCGATTTTCAATTGCATAGGAAAATGAAACTCAAACCTTATTTTCGTCTTTCTTTGTTCTTTGCAGTGAAAAAACAAAATTGCACTTCCATTTTTCATTTTTCCTCGTCAGGAAGGAAACGGAATTCGAATTCACTTAATGCTCTCCGTTTTTCTTTTTCTGTAGCTCAAAAAAAAAGATTTTAAGTCCCTTTTTCGTTTTTCGCTTTTCGTTTTCGTATGGAATTTTGAAAACGGATTACGATTCGTTTTTGGTTTTTGTTTTCGGTTTATCGCATTGAAACTGACAATCTTTGTTTAAGCGGGAATATTTAGGAAATTAAGATGGCGGCGTTAGAAAATGTCTTAGATAAGACTTTGTCCGCCGGTTTCTTATCGAACAGAAACATACTTACGAGGAGCTTGTCACTGAAATCAAGGCTCGATATCCGAATCCAAAGGGCTGTCGTTTACGAAGCGTGAAAAGGTTTTGTAATCACCAAGGAATAAGGAAAAGAATGCCAGTTTCGGATGAAGCGCTTAAGTGCCGCTCTCGATAGGAGCGTTCCTGTCGACTTCCCGCTGGGAAAAAAGTTTTCTTTTGTTTTTTGCCGAGAATGGATGCCGGGTTGTCCCAGAACGTTGCGTAAACGTAATCGGTCGTCACGCTTGCGCGCTTGCGTGACTTACAAAGTTAACAAAAGTGATCGGAAGGCGCCCTCTGGTTAATTTTCGTTGAAATATCAATTCTTTCTGCACAAAACCGTTGTGGTCCATAACAGCGTAAAATCATTACTGATGAAAACAAATATGTATAAAGGAGGGCTAGTTTATCGCGCTCCGTTTGCAAAATCTCGGGAGAAACTATAAGAATTCCTTCAGAGTGTATGCATGTTGCTTTGTAAATAACACTGTAACGTATTTCAACTTGTTTGTGTGTCTTTTTAAGCAAAGAGATATGTCTGTAATGACGACAGTGCCAAACTCGATTCTTTTAATTTTGATCTTCTCCACACTGTGCGTAGTTCATGACCTGATATTTCAACGAAGATTATCGAGAAGGCGCCAACCAATCACCTTTGTTTACTTTGTAAGTCACGCAAGCGCGCAAGCGTTACGACCGATCACGTTTACGCAACGTTTTAGGACAACTCGGCATCTATTCTCCATTCAGTTATTACGAAAACCTAAAATTCTCAACGTCGAAGACAAACAAACGAAGTTTGAACGGTCAAAAGGAGATCTTCGTCGAGTTTCAGAATCATGCAAATTATCACTGACACGAGCGCAATTGAGCAAACACATGGATTTGCGTTGTTTTCAAGATGTTGGTGGATAAAAGCCATAGATATACCCGCGGGTTTGAGGCAATCGGTGAACTTATTGGTGTATAAATTATACACTGATATGCTTTTTTAGCCCGATCAACGCCTGCATTTTGAGAATTCTTTCGTACAAATTGGTATATTTAATATGCAAATTAAGGTCGAAGAGAAGGCTCTCCTCTGATCACGCTTGTATGAAAAATATTTCAGCTGAAGTTTCCATATTTTGTCTGTGAATTTAATGAAGGCACCTTGTAATTGCAGCAAGATAGAATTCCGTGAGCTACATCATAGCAGTCGCTGTGCGCTGGACAAAATCTGTAAAATTTACACTTTCGATCGCTGTCCACACGAGTGGTCTAGCCAAAAATCATTTTCGGCTTGTAACGACGCAAAAAAAGAGAATTGGAGAACAACTAAACTATCTTTGAAACATGTGCCCTAAGCCCTTTTCATGGGCAAGAAATTAAAGAAAACTTTTTCCGACGGGAAGTCGACAGGAGTGCTCTTAGCGAGAGCAGCACTTAAGCGCTCTATCCGTGGTCACAGCGTGTTTTGAAATGAATCCGATACGAGTCCCCAAGGTGTGAACATTTCGGCTTCTCTATTTATTACACCATACGATTGATGTGTGGACTGTATGTTGAAGAGCTCCCGAGGAAAAGCACAATGATGGAGCAGTGATTACTTTATACTAACTGAGGAACTAACTGAGGACGAACGCAAATGCGCGACTTAACAATGTGGCTGCCTCTGATACACTTCTGCGTGGTCACCGCGTGTGTTGAAATGAATCCGATACGGGTCCCCTAGGTGTGAACATTTCGGCTTCTCGATTTATTAAATCATACAAACATTTTCTTTCTTTCCACGTGAGTTTCTGAGCTTCATCGAAATTAATTTGACTTTTACTGAGTGGGGAGGGGTAGCATGCGAGACTACTTCCGTTCGCGGTCCACAATGCAACTTCCGTCCACGGAATACAACTACCGTCAACATCTGCTTCACCACGATACCTAATTCATTGCTTTCAGCGTGAATGAGCTGAAAATGTTGCTACTCGTGGATAATAATGACAAATGCAGTGGTTACCCTTTCAGTGTCAAATGCGTGGCCTTAGAGAGGAGCAAGTGCTTTGAGGCTTCTCAAAACTAGACTCCGCAATAGAGTGCAGAATGACATGCTTAACACTCTTCTCCACATTTTGATCAATGGCCCAGCAGTAGGGAGCAAGGAATTTGAAGATCTCAATAATTCATCCGTAACTGTAAGATAAAAAGAGGCTCCGAAAACAACAGCAGTGTTTTGATGTAGCTATAGCTGTGTCGTGAAATAAACAAATTCTCCCAGATTACCATTTTTTTTTATTATAATATATTAAGTATGAAAATATTTATATTATTATAACAGATTAAGTATGAAAAGATTTATTTTTCAGATTTCAGGAAAATGCCTTTCTGGGAGACTTATGTTTTAAAAATTTCCCGGGGTAGCATGCCCCCGGATCCCCCTAGAGGTTTGGGCCTTCGGCCCTCAATTTTCAAGGGTACCTGCCCACTTTAAAGGCAGTGCCCTTCTACTTTAAAGCTATTTAAACCCTGCTTTAATTGCCTCAGCAATACATGTAGCAACCGCATCACTAATGCGATTACGAAACAAATTCAATTTTGTTAGCGTCTTGTTTACTTTGATTGCCTCAGCAATACATGTAGCACCCGCATCACCAATACGATTAAGCAACAAATTCAATTTGGTTAGCGTCTTGTTGATTTTGATTGCCTCAGCAATACATGTAGCACCCGCATCACTAATACCATTGCAAGACAAATCCAAATTGGTTAGCGTATTGTTGACTTTAATTGCCTCAGCAATACATTTAGCACCCGCATCACTAATACCATTGCCAGACAAATCCAAAATGGTTAGCGTCTTGTTGACTTTGATTGCCTCAGCAATACATGTAGCACCCGCATGACTAATATCATTACGAAAAAAATTCAATTTGGTTAGCGTCTTGTTGACTTTGATTGCCTCAGCAATACATGTAGCGCCCGCATCACTAATACCACTGCAAGACAAATCCAAATAGGTCAGATTCAAACCAGTTCCAAACGACTTCGCTAACTGTGAGTGAAAATCACTTTTTTCTCTTTTACATTCGTTGATGGCCTCTAATACAATTTTTGTACCATGGCCTTCACTTTTGTTGACTTCATTTGTTAAACTCTTTACAAGAGCCACAACTTGTTCATCGCATTTCATGCCTAAAATTCCACATGAAAACAAAAGTATTTGTTTAAGTTCAACAAAATACCTTGGATCGGAAACTAATTCTTCAGGTTTAATTTTCTTGCTTTGAATCTGAGAACAAATGAAGAATGCTGAAAAGAATTCTTGAAAACTTTTATGTAAGAAGGCATAATGCAGTGTTTGTCTCAATTTGCTGCCACCAGGCTGCACTGACAGAAATCCAAATTCAGTCAGGTCTTTTGCATGGTTTCTCAATTCACTTTCATTAAAATCCAACTTATCGTCAAGTAAACCATTCAACGCTACCTTTCCAAGGTGATTCAATTGCGGTTTGTAATGGTTTGTCAGGTCTTCGATGTTTTCTAATAGTCCTTTCTTTTTTCTATATCTTCTCAAAACACATTCAACCATATCCAAGTACAGTTGA